TTTTGTATATCTTCCAATGTTGTGTTGTGAACTTGTAAATTTAATTTATTTCGCTTTTTAATACCTCTGTAACAGTATTAATGTTTGTGTTTCAAATATATTTTTTGCTAGCGTTGTCACTTTGTTGAAATGCACGTTTTTAACAGCAAATGACGTTTTAAAAATATTTTGTGTATAAATAATAAACGCACTTATATGGATGTTATGTTTTTTGATCTACTTTCATTCTGCGTTTCAGTTGCATTCTACCCAGCCCTACGGATAGTCTTAAAAATATAAAAATAAAGTTGGTTATTGAATTAACTTTTAGCGTTCGTTCACTCAATTTGTATATGCAATGGAATTAATTAAAAATCTATATCTATATATATATTAAATTCTTGCGTTACTGAGAGTGATTGACTAACAGAGCGTAAAAAGTTGAAATTTAGAATGATGATTCCTTAGGGCGTGTAGAGGAGCACTATTATAAGAGAGGATTTTTGAAAATTCCACCCAGAAGGGGTTAAATAAGGGGATGATTTTTTATGGAATTCTCATTTCTAAACTTAAAAGTAGACCACCAAATCTAGTATTTTATATGTAACAAAAATAATAAAAAGTCCTTAAACGTATATAATCATTTTGGCTATTTCAACTTATGATCATAACATGAAGTTGTTGTTTTATTAAGTATAAATAAAGAGAAAAACATATTTCAGTTTCAAAATATTCCATTTATTTTCATTCCCGTTTCTCTTTTTTTAGTACATACAATACTATCTATAAATTAGCACCCATAACATAAATCTACTCATTGAGCGCATTTTCTACATTACAATAATACATTCATTCAATATTTACTTATATTAAAAAACACGAATAAAATATAATATGAAAAAATTAAGACTTGGATAAAGGGTCAGTCCATATCGCCAGAAGGTGCGTCGCGTATCGTTGATTGCGGAATGTCAGAGCTGACAAATATATGACTCCTTATTCTTCTTCTTTTTTAATTAATGGCTTATCTGCGCATTTCGCACAATTCTGCCAATGTCAACAAAATAAATTAATTTTTACATGTAAAATGAAAATGAAATGAATGAAAGATGATGATACTCGACTTCAAATTCAACCTTGCACATTCAACTGACACTTGACGGACCTTCTGACAGATTTAACAATATATCTTTGACCTTATTAAGCAATTGGTTTAAAGTTTTAAATGCTTTTTATATGCCGGTGCAGTTTTGAGTATTTGTGGTTGAGGTAATTATTTATTTTACTTATGAATCCATGAAAAAGGTAAGTCTATAATTTAAGACCACAATATATATTTTTATAATTATATTTGAATCCAATTTCTCATTAACTAACTATTATAATTGTTATAATTTTTATTATATTATTTGATGTAATTGATTTCAATCTAAATTTAATTTATATAACTTAGATGAAATTATTAAGCTAAATGAACTAAGTCTGATTGAAATATACAGACAACAGCACATTAGTTTACGTAAATTGTCTGTCTAGTTGATTTTGTAAGTAAAGTTTAAAGTCGAATGCGCACATCTGGAATTTAACATAATGTGCTGCTGTGTGTACAAAGTTTATGTACGTACATATTTATATAATAGGTACCCGTAAAGAAAGAGGTGGGAAATTCGTAGTTCACATATTTGAAGGAGATATTCTGAAGATATGTTGACAAGGAAATGATTTGTTTCAATAAACTACATTTACAATTTAAACTGATAATTCCTCTTCAGGTTAACTAATAACTGAATTACTCAGCATAATTACTTAAGCAATACAATGATTTCCACTAAACAAAAAAAAAACACTTGACTATATTTGTTTTAACTATTAGAAAGCAAGAAGAAATACAAAATTTATTCCAATAATAATATCAATCGAAAGAGTAGACAAACATTAAAAATAAATAAATTAAATGCTCGAATTAAAATATATAACAACAAAAACTTCACATTATTCATTAAATCTATTACATATAAAATTTCAACTACGTATCAACATTTACAAAAATATGAACTATTGTATTCTAATGTTCTTTCTAACTGGGCAACACACGGGTGATAATTGTGGTTTAAACACTTAATTTTTATTTTCATAAATAAGTTAGGAAAACTCCACATAGTACATTAATATTATGTGGAGGAAAACTCCAGTACTAAATTAAACAACAACAAGTACTAAATTCAGCTATAATTTTCAAATCGGTAATTGTTTTCACCCATTTGTTGAGTGGATTTAGCTATAGCACTGTATATTTCTTGAAAAACTAAATAGATAGTTCAGGCTCAATTTTTTTGGGTCATTTTATTATGTAAAATGTTTAAAGTGTAAAGTGCATAGTAAAATGTTTAAAGTTAAAAAGTATAATGAAAAGCAAGGTGTTTAAATGATAAATTAAATATTTTGAACTTAATTATGATCAAAGATCCTGTTCTTTTTTTTATGATCTCTTCTATTAGTAATACAGACATGCTATGATTATTTAACAATAGCATCTCTTAAAAAGGTACAACTGCAATTAAATAAAAGCTTTTTTAAGTAAGAGGAACTGATGACAATTTTCCTTCTCTAGTATTATCCGTCTCATGTTTCACTGGTAATTTAATTCGTTTAAATTTGTACATTAGGCATAAAAAGTTAGCATTTAATATGCTATAAACAATTTTAGCTGCACATATAACTATATTATAGTAAAAAACATTAAAATGAGGTTTCAGCTTTGAGATTGTGTATCTACGAGATGTCCCATGATATACTAATAAAAAAAAAACAGCAAAAACATTCTTTCAGAACTCCATACACCGCTACTGAAATCCCACGTGTACTTTTGTACCACCATGTTATCCATTTTGGGGTTTTTCATATGATGGAATTACTATCTCAAATTATCTGATTTCACCTATGATATAAAAACAGATGATTTACAATTATAATTAAAAAAAAACCTTCGTATTCTGTTTGGTATTAGACATTAAATCTATTTTCAATAACGTGTCACACATTAGCGTAATATAGTGGAATTTCCCGTAATCATTCCTAAGGTCGTTAGTACAACAATGCATTAGCTTGCGAAAGCGAAACCCCGCGAAACTATTGCGAATGCGTAACAAATGCGATAAATCAGCATCTGTGTAATGACGTTACGACAATTGCCTGCGAAACAGCCATGCGATTCTGTAAAAATGCAAACCCGAATTTGAATTCACCCAGCTGTCCGGATTCACTTCAAAAAGCTCAACCTTGAATTGGTAATAACGTGTCGTGCCATAAGTGAAGTGAGTTCCGAAATGACATAGGAATATAATATCTGAGATACGTATATTCAACCAATTTTGTTTTGTATTTTTATACAAAAAATGGAATCAATAGAATTTCTTCAGTAAATGGCCTGAATGAGGACACACGAGTGAATTCGAATTTGGGTCTGGATTTTTACAGAAACGCAGCTATTTAGTCGAGCTAATAATAGAGCGAGATAAGCATATACGAAACGTTGCCATACAACCGACAGTTTTTTGTGGTTCGCATTCTCATGCGATTGCATCGGCGTACTAACGGCGTAGTAAGTACATATTACCACACCAGATTACCATAAAATGTCATATTAGATGATTTTAACTTATACAGGGTTATTTGTAAAACGCTAGCAATCTTGCAGGACAAAACAGCTATATTATAAGCAACGATATTAGATCTACGAGTTTTAATAAAACTCACTACTTTTATATTTAAGTTTTTATTGCACTCACATTTATATATCTATGTTTTATTGTTAAAATCGCACGCTGTGTGAATTACTAACATATTGATGTTGTGCGTAGAATTACTAGTATAAGAGTGATAAATTAAGTAAAATATGACATATCTGATTTTTATTAATGTTTAAATTATCAAAACTGTTTGTACATTGTAATATATGATTTCAGACTAATTTTTCCACTTGATTTTACTCTTAATACATTGACGATAGAACTCAAATATTTTATGAAAATTTAACATATTGTGGTGATCTGGCGTGCAGTTATGTGTACCTACACTATTATCACATCATATTGATTCCCAATAAGTCGAATATCTACTTTTCTCATACATTTCATATGTATTACATTTTTTTAGGAATGTTATTAAGTTTATCATTTTAAATTTCGATATGAATGTGTCACAATAATGAACACTTTAGTTACACAAATAAATTTAAAAATTTTGGAAGCACATTCTTTTATTTAATTTAATGACATATTATTATGTCATCTATACAAATTATTAGCAATTGTAAACACCCTTTAAATTTAACTTTATTTAAACTAACTAGATTGTGAAAGACAGGGGTCTTCTACTTTTGTGAAAACCGTGCATAAGTCATCTAATTAATCTTTTAGTGGAATATCTAAAAATTTGCTATCTATTAGAATAACTGTTTGATAGCGCTTCACAAAGTTAACACTATTTCTTCAACATTTTCTTATTATATAGCTTTCACTCGCCAAATATGTTTAAGGTATGCTGGTCTCAATAAGCTCTACTATCAACAGTAACAATCACTAATCTACCAATGTCCTTCACTTGTTATACACTTTTAGCATTAATGGTCTTTGTAAAACTGAAGTATGCAACACAAATTCTTAATCCGTGTCAACCGAATGTACTACATCATAATAATCACCGTTAGTAGTACAATTACCGGCGAGAGAGTACTAATTTTGGTAGCTATAGTTAATTCCTATTCTGTATACACATGTAGCCATTGTCTGTAACACTAGCTAAACATAGTTGTGAAGCAAACACAAAACTTATTACACTGTATCACCCCAATAACTGAAACTCTTGCGGTATATTCTTCTATAACAATCACTATGTAATTTTGGTAATTAAATCTTTCATAGCACTTGTAGCACTGATAGTGTTCGTAACACTCAGCTACGCATCTTTCCGTAGCACACACTACTTTAGTTCATAGTAGTCGCTACATTTTCTTGTGTCGCTTATGCGGGGGCCCAGGTCACATCTCTAATGATACTCCGGCACCACCAAGCGTAGTCTCCGTTACTCTGAACCCGTGTTCTAGTAAATGGCTGGACAATCCGTCCACAGTGGAACGATGAGTAGAAGGTGGGATTAAAACCATCGCGTAACTGAAAGTAATAAATAAATCCTATTAATATTATAAATGTGAGTTTCTTCGTTTGGATGTTTGTCGGTCAATCACGCCGAAACTACTGAACGGATTTTGATGAAATTTGATGAAAGACGATTTTGATGAATGTTATACAGATAGGATATTAGCTGACTAAGATAATAGGATACTTTTTATCCCACTAAACATTTCCCTAGGGACTACGCGGGCGAAATTGCTGGCGAAAGCTAGTATTAGATAAAATCACATACATTACTCTATGGAATTCTATGGAATCTTATGGAAATCTAAATTAATCCCATCAGATCTGATTTATATTATATATTTATCTATATAAAATACGCAAAAAATATATAACATTATTTTTATATGATTATAATTAAATGGCGCCCCACGGTAATCATCGGTAAAGAACTACTGGTTAAGGAGAACATTTTTTTTGACGCTGAGGTATGCGTTACGCATTCCCGCTTCACCCTGCGCGAGCTCCACGGGCTATGTGGGATTCTCCCCTGCGGACCAACCCTCAGAATGGGGGCTGGTCAAAAAAGCAGGGGCATGCCCACTAAAACTCAGAAATGTCCCTCATTGCGGGGAACAACGCGCGTTAACGGTCCCCAACGGGACCACTTCCCGCGCATGTCGTCCTCGCTGGACCCACCCCTTTTTCAGGGCAAATCCCGTATCGAGTTAGGGGAAGGGCTCAGGAACATTCGAATCGAATCTCCCAGACAGGGCAAGGGGCGTGCAATGCCCAGCGATGCTGCTAACCTGCCAGACTGCCCCTCGTCAAAGGCAAGAGCTGCGCAACTGAGCATCTCCCACACTAACCCGTCTAAGAGAGGGAATTCACCTGAACCCTCGTGTATCCCTCACCCCGATAGCCCCGGATACCGATGTCCAACCCAGCGTGAGCTAAACCAGTCATCAGTATTCCGTTCTTTAGTCATACTCTAGTAGTGGCCCCGCCCAGGCCCGGTCACTCCACACACCGAACGGTGTGTGCAGCAGCCCTGCCTCGGTTAAGGAGCACCTATAATGATATATGACTATTATTTTGCTCGTAGTTAATTAATAAATACTCATTCATTCATTATTTAAACTGTTAGCAAGGTTAGCTATAATAGGCAGTTGGGTAGAAATTTATAGTCACTTTTAAATCAGTCAAAAATCCCATTTGTTTGTTGTTGACTATGTAAATTGATGTTATATTTACCCTCCACCGCCCGCGCCGGTCAATTTACACGCGAGTCCGCGCGCTCGCGCCGCCGCACGTATAGTTTCCAACGCTGGATGTGATACTCCCATCGCGCCAAGCAGCCAATGGTTCATGTCCCACAGCTCCTGAAATAAACACAAACATAAATTAAAACTATCACATTGGCTAAATATTATTAAACACGAATATATGTCCGAATAGTAAGGAAACACTCTCAAAAAACAAATTCCTAAATCAAATTATTTTAAGTTAGAAAACTTGATTACTATAACCAATAATAGATGGGGACGTTATTTTAAGGCAAATTACTATTGTGAAAAAATAATATATGCTTTCTGTAACTAATCTAATAACTATTAGTATTAATATAATGTAAATAAAAGGGAAAAAAGGATGTTCATTTTAGATATCAAAATACTTACTGCTAAGTGCTGGTAATCAGATTCCATATCGGAATCGCATTTGCCATTTGAAAGTTTTACTAAAACCTGAAAAATGATAAATTGGTGTCAAACTTAAACTAAACTGAATAAAAAAAACTGAACACATGAGAAATTAATACAAATTGACTTTAAATATGTGGTTTCACATATCATCAGTATGTAAAAATACATATTTGTACATGGATGTGTATGTGTATGTGTGCGTGTGTGTTCGTGTGTGTTTGTGTGTTGGCGTGTAACTAGTGGCTTACTGATAGAAATATAGTGGGAATGTTGAAATCGCTAACCTTACTAGCGCCATCTTTTTTTCACTAGCGTACTGGCTCACCTGCATGGCGGTGTTAGCGAGATGATCACATGCCTCCAATATGTGGTCCATAGCGGCTGTGTTTCTTTGTCTGACGGAGGCCACTTTCGCTACTAGAACTTTGGTTTCACGAGTCACACGCGTATCCACCAGTAGTATACGCAAGTTCAACCTCGTGTCTATATGCCTGGGCTTGTGACCTTTCTTGAAGGATATCATCGAACCGAATGTGCAAGCTGCGTTGTCGATACCTGAAAGATCAGTATTCAGTAGCTGGATAACAACTTTTTAAATTGAGCTACCCGATATATTGACTTACCCCCGGTTTCAATAATATACCGACAACCATCGGTAGCAGCTACCGACCGTTTTTTGAGCTACCGACAAACATTCGTTTTTGCGTTTCACAATCATCGGTAGGCGCCTACCAACTACGAACGGTTGTCGGTAGCTCATTTTTTTAAATTGTAATCATATAATTCGAGGAAAAGGGTTCTTTCCATACAGCCTTGTCTTAGGTAATATTATGATTCTACTGAAATGTTGGTCTTTAACATTTAATAATTTCTTGGACAAAATCGAAATCGTAAGAAGGAAGACAGAGACATCAATAGGAAGGAGGTGAACTGATTAATTACGTACCGAAACTAAATTTGAAATTTGTTTTGGACTTATTATGACTTATTTATTATATGGTTAGGTTCTTAAAAGTGGTGTTATTGTGAAACAAATTATCGTCTGAAATGGAATTCTGATGTAAACAAATGAGTTACCATTACAACAAATAGCTTAAATTTATCTCTTTAAAAGTGTTTAGTAATTTTTTTACTTGAACTAAAAATCCTTTCTTTTACATAAAAATAGGATAGAAATATTTTATGCTGCAGGCAAGAAACAGCGATTCGGAACATTTGGCTCATTGAATTAAACTTTTTTTTATTTAGTATGATTTATCGTAAAAATATTTATAAATAACACGTTTTCCCTTGTTAATTAAAAGAAAAGTAACAGTTTTTCATTAATAAAATAATACTGTAGAAGAGCTTAATGTGTTTTGTAGTTCAGATTAGAAGAATTTAAGTTGTAATCATGTCAATGTTTGTACCTTAAAGGGCTCTTACTACAAATTAATTATTGGTCCAGATGCTTTCTACAATATGTTTCTTTTGAAAAACATAACGATTTACCTCTATATAATTATGAAAAACCTAGTTCTGATGAAACTTAATTTGCCACCTATTGTACAAGCATTTTATTCGATTTTGTTTTACAATTTAAAGTACTTAAAATTGAAAAAGTAATGAAATTCTTATAGGATAATGTCAACAAATCTTACATTTTTATCCCCACATTGTTATACAAAATTAGTTACACTAGAATGAGAAACCTTCTTTTTCATTGAAGTTGATAAAAAATAAGACTTTACATCTTATTTCCGTATTATTATTTGCAAAAATAAAATTATAATTAGAACCTTTTGGAAAATGTTTGCAATCCCTAAAATAAACGTGTGCAATACACATTTCATTGAAATGGTACGGTGCATGGTTATGAGTGTTTTGTCAATTTAGTAGGTACAAGAACGCGAACGTGTTACTTTAACATACCTCACCATTTTTTAATATATTTCAATTTTTGCTCCAAAAAAAGCATTTAAAACGTCCAAGTGAACCTCAATGTGAATATTGTCACTCTAGTTTAGGTTGTATGTGCTATATCCCTTTGTCTTTAATTATGCCAAAAAGTAAAGTTGATTTATGTTCCGTAGAAGTATAGAGTTCACCTTTATTTTAAATTGTTAATTGTATAAAGTGATTTGTACTATACATATTGATTTGCAAGATAACATTAATGAATTTGACAGTGAACAATTGTGATCTATTGACATAGGATGATAAAGAATGGTTATTAGATAAAATGGAATGATTGTATCAAATCGTAAAACAAACGTAGAAAAATGCAATGGAATAATGTAAAAATTATGTAGTTTTTTATGAATTGTTTTTTATTTGTAAAATAAATAAGTTATATCCAAATTGGGTTTTATTAAGAATTAAATCAATATCAGTGTTTAATAAAAAATAAAGGGTATAAACTAATGTAACGTGTATAAGTTTGGTACAAGTAGGTGGCAAATTCAGTTTCATCAGAACAAGATTTTTCATAATTATATAGAGGTAAATCATCAAGTTTTTCAACAGAAACATATTGTAGAAAGCATCTGGAGCAATGATTAATTGGTAGTATGAGCCCTTAAAGGAACAAACATTGGCATGATTACAACTTAAATTCTTCTAATTGGAACCACAAAACACATCAAACTCTTCTACAATATTAATTTTTTAATGAAAAACTGTTATTTTTCTACTTGTTAATAAGGAAAAACGTGTCATTTATAAATATTTTTAAGATAACCGACGGAAAATGGCCGGTAGGCAAATTTGACAGATAAGCTACGGATAGTAAGTTTGACAGCTCTACCGAAAGATATTGAAACACCTGTTTGCGCCATTTTCATACATTTTGCCTACGAACGGTTATCAGTATCAGATCAATCCGTTAGTAGCACACAGTCGGTAGCTTTACCTACCAATGGTATGTTATTGAAACACTTTTTTGCTACCATCGGTAGGAAATGCTACGGATGGTAGCAAAAACGGATAGTTTTTTGGTTATTGAAACCGGGGGTTAATTATACTCTGTTCCTACGGCAGCCGAAAAACGGGCAGTAAAGTACTTTGTGGGCATTGAAAAAAAAAATGATACACGAATTACTGTGTTTTGTTGTACCCATACAGTACTGCGAATCAATACAGTTCTATGGATTGTGATAAGTATCGTAAACGTTCAACGCTCACATAATGTTTTGTTAATTGTCTATTTAAAAAAACTACAAAGAACGCGTATATATTTGGTCATTTTATAACGTTTCAGATACTTTCCTTTACCAGTAGTTGTACCAACCAGTAGTTGTCCGTTTTTTGCCTGCCCTAGGTACAAACTTAACATAATCATAGACTTTTTACATTGTGAATGAATGAAATCAAATATGGTATTTAAGATAAAGTTGAACTGTAGAGCATTAAATGAGGAGCTCGATGCCACAGTGTTTATTGCGATCGAACTATTATGGCGGAGGTAAAGCAACTTTGAAAATACCGATTATCGGATGGGTGACTAATAAATTTTATATTGTCCTTATATTTCGGAAAACACTAAGCTCATCGGCCCGATAATCCCGCAATGGGCCGAAATTTCCTTAATATCAACTCGACAGCATGAATTAACGCGATATTCCCTATTTTACTTATAGATCAGAAAATTAGCCTTCCATACAACCTTCGTCACGTCAGCCATTTTAATTTACTTAACGCGATTACTTAATGAAAATTGGTCCTTACTACATAAGTAAGTAAGGTCGCACTTTACTAGTACATCGAGTCAATTTTAGGTTGGGCTGAGCAAATATAGCTACGTGAGTCGGATTGCTAGTTACGTTTCAATGTTATCTCATTATATAATAAATGTTACGTATAAACGATTACGTGAAGAAATGTGAGTATCAATAACTCAATTTGATAACAGAAGAACTAGTTGTTGCATAAGGGTTGCTACATACAATCCAATGTCGTGCGATGGGCTATAGATAAATGCGTGATACAATTACGACCTTGAGAATTAACCGAACTATCTAGTATAGAACTTTTAGTTACTAAAGTCATGGTATATCAGGCCGTAGGTTAACGGTTTTTTTTTCGTTATCCTACCCTTTTCTGTCGTTGAGAAGTCGCAGAGATAAAATGTGGTCTACATTTACCTATTAACTGAACATAAATGGGAAAAGTAATCAGACTTTAGAACTAGAACGCAGACAGGTCACCTTTCTGTCGATTTATTTGTGTTCCTTTACAATAAGGAAGTATTTAAAAAAAACGAAATCACTAAAAAAGCATCTCCACTATATGGCGACTCTAGCAAAAGTTAAATTTTGCAGGAAACGAATGGACCAAAGACAGTCATTTCCGTTCCTTTTAACTAACATATTAAAAAACTGAAATTTGAAAAGTTCGAAACTTAGATATCAATACAAATACGAATAGAGAGAATATGTGTACTTTATTGAGGTTTGAAAACTAATTTACTTTTAAACATGAAAGAAAACCCGAATGGTTGTCATGGAGAAATCAAGAACGTACTGTAGCGACATCTAGTTTTATTTCGGGAACTAATTTTTTTTTTATATTTTACTCATTCAAATGACTTTACCTAAAACATTGAACACCAATGTTTAAGGTAAAATAAAAATTAATATTCAGTGAAATGCCTAAGCACAACTTAATCAATGTTTATGCAAACTCGATCGTGTAAGTAAAAATAGTTACCGTCAAATATATTCTCAAAGCGATAGAGATAGACATTCAACAATTTGTTCACTATTAAATTGATACAAAGGTAACGACTTACCTTGACCTGCTAACCATAACATCTCATCAAAACTAAAAGCCTTTATAAGTTTTCAATGTTACCTTACGTAACGTCGACTGTCGAGTGTAGAACGTGTTTCGACCATAAATTCAAAGAGTTAAGACACAGTTTTACGTAACATAAAATTAACGTTTTTGATAATGCTATCGACTGACTAATGAGAATAAGAGACATTTATATTTTTATTGTAAGTCAATGAACTGTGTTATTTAAAGTAAGAGTTATATTTAGAAAATGCATTATTGTTAGAGATGGGCCGAGCATCGATAAATATGTTCCGTTACATAACAAAACTAAACAAAAGCAACTACAATTTAATCTTGACTATAGTTTATTTAATTTATATTTAAATAAAAATGATAGTGTATATCATTTGACAAATACTGACTAAAGCAACCCGATCTGCCTAGCCATTTAAAAAATCAAAACACCAATTCATTATTCAGTGGATTATTTTGACAAATAAATTAGGGTTTCAACTAGCATCAGGGAGTAGGTAATACAGTTCAGTGTAATGTCACACCCCTAGCATAGATCCAGGTACATTACTCATTATTATTTACATTTTGTCTCATCACATTGAAACAATAACACAATAATTCATATAATTAGAGATCAATAATAATTGTAAGTGTAAAAATAAATAAATGTTTCAATGACGCATAAATTCAAGCTTAATTAACCCGTTTCGCGGCTACACTAGAGCGTTCTTTTCCCTTCTACTCATGCTCATTATAATTTCATCTTAAATTATTATAGAAAAATTAATAAAACTCGTGGTCAAACCTCAACTAATTATAATGTAAATAATCGCCAATGCATTTATAACGGTGTCAATGTTAAGTTATGAAATATTCATCGGTAATCTATCGCCTAAAAGCCTTGTTATCATAGAATGTCGAGATGTTACCACCATCTAACGGGCGTAGTAACAATTTATAAGCTATTATTGCCTACATTTTTAAATGGCTTGTCGGTCTAAGATGCTTCAGCCAGCATTTGTGCACCAAGGTCAAAGCGTTATCGCGGTTAAAAGAAATGAGTTTATATGTAAACTTTATAAACTAACTATATAAACTTTGTATTTTTACAAGAATAGCGAAGGGCTTAATTTGTAGACATCAGAGAAATTTAATCTGTCCTCTAAATATATCTATGTCAAGGCCGAAACATACTTCCGAATTTATCTCTATTATGCGCTTTACATTTACAAACACGGTAAACATATTTTTTGTTGTTAAAGTAAGTCGGTGGAATCAACTCTTGAGGTAATAACTGTAGGGACGCGTTGGCTCTATAAAGAAAACGAAGCGTTATAATATTTTATAACTAAATAACACTCACCAGAAGGAGTTCCATGCATGATCTTCTCACAATTATACGCCCACTCCGATATTAGTTCCTTCTCTGTCATTGAGAAATCTTCATCGTAATAGGCATCATAGCTGTGCGAACTCTTCAATTTCAACAATTGTATCAAAGCACCTGCTAGGCAAACAGCGAACGAGGCCGAGCTACCGGTACCAGCGCCGATAGTCAACTCGGAACCAATAGATATATCCATAGATTTCACCATTACGTTAGTGCTGCCGATAATCCCAGAGAACAGATACAGGAAACTTCGCAAAGAGTTCTTCTGGTTAGTTGGGAGAACATCGAAATTTGGCTTGATCAAATGAAGGAACTCGTCGACTCTCCTCAAATGCTGATCATGGTCTAATTTATCCGGTAGACGCCAAGAGAATTTTCCCGATATCTCTTGGAGTAACCGCGGGCAGAACAGGGCTTTCATCGTGGGCGTTAATGGTATGGTCTCCTGGAGGTCCACGGTGGGCATGTGAATGTAGACTGCTGGCTCTTTCATATTGTTCACTTCCTGAAATTTGACCATTGATTAAGGTTTTCTTAAATAGGTTGATACATAACTGACATACATATAACTATGTCTTTTTTTTTAAATAGAAATTAGGTCTGTTTTTCAAGTTTTACTTTTTTGAAACACATTGTTTTTCTTGTTTATTGCATTGATACGTTGAATTTACAGCGTGTTTAAAAAGATAATAATTATTACAGTTTTCTATATTTTGTCGGATATTCCTATGAGGATTTTAGCTACTCATCTTCGAATCCGAGTAATGTATATGATTTTGTCCAATATTCTTTTTCATAACTATTTATTTATTTTAGACAACGTATCATTTAAGACTACAACTTAATATTAAAAGTTTATTTTTTCAGTTTTTCAATTGCATACAGAATTTATCTCAAAAAAGCTTAAAAAGTTTACCAGTCCAATATAGCACTGAAAATGCAAAACTGATCTAATATAAAAATAACATATAATTCATTATTTCAATTCCTGATTTAAATTACATATCAGCATACTCAACACGTGCACCAAAAGTGTGATTATTCCTAGCTGATATTAGCTTCGAAACATTTGAATGTACACCAGTTCACTTCCATGCTACATCTAACATTCAATACTGGAAAACCGTGACATAGAATTTGCGTAATGCTATATAGTGAATAAAATATTTATTTACTGCTATTTTATGCATAATATCAGAATTATATTGAGGTATACAATAAGGTGATAAAAATATTCACAGATTTCATCACCAGGTTAGTGCTACCGAAGGTCCCGAATAATATACAGTGCAGTGTAAAGATATAGTTTGGATCATCGGATGCGCTTTAATTTATCTGTGCTCAAAGCGTTAATGATATATGTTAATACTGCGTAATATTTTATAATTTGATTGCTTCTTATCGTATGTTCAGCGAAACTTTAATAATACAGAAAACATTGAATACTAATGGAAATCATTGATAAATATCAATAAAAATAGTTAAAAGGTTAGTAGTTAAATTAAATAAAGTTAAAGTTTACAAAGAGCAATCAAGATTACTTACATTTGTCACGCATATAAGATCAAAGATCAGATCAAAATTTATATCACAAAACAACCATATCCCATGCGTAATGGCATCATAATATATAGCACCCTTTGAGAAGACTAAAGTGTTGGAAAATGTGATCTTCTTCTATACTGCCCCATAAGCGATATAGCATAAACAAAAACCCACCTTACCTTAATGACAATAGAGCTTCTTAAACCAAGGCTGACCGCCACAGCCGTCTTCCCGTACACCACGGCATGTTCCCCATGCAGGATCACCTTGCCCGGTGCGGAAACGCTCACGGTATACAAATTGTCCATTCCGTTGAACATTTTGATCACTTGACAAATGTAGAGGATAGAAGAAAAACTACTGGACTTTTATATCATAGTATAATGAATTAAAACATTTATGATTGTGCCTTCCACTGTTCCACTGTTAAAGTCTTCTGCGTGAATGCGTGGATAGTCTTCAACTCCTCCTGGAGAACTGAATTGACCAACCTGCGGGAAGAAATATATATGTGCATATCATTGTAAATGATATGTATTGTAATTCTAATGAGCATTGATAATTCTGGGTAAGTGCGAGTTGAAACGACAAATACAAAATTTTCAAGTGACCTCAGCTTACAGACAGCGAGAATCGACTATATTTTATATTATGTATAAATAATTCTTTGTCATTAACGTAACAGCGATCAATTTGTAAATCAAATAAATTACAATAAGTAAATGTACGTGATTTGATATGACTGCTTCGTTTTTTTTTATCAGTTTTGTTTCTATTATAACACTGCCCTGTTTTTCTAATGCGATTATTCTTCTGAGTTAATGTAATTCAAATATCTTATTTTTGCCGTTTGAATCTGATACGGAGTTTACATGACAAAGATATTGTTATCAGTGATCTTTTTCTTTTTTAATTCAATGCGGATTGTATGTGTTATGACTTTTGACTCAACCTTAGAATAGAATTGTAAAGTATTAACGTCATAAAAATTTAGGGATCACTGGATCTTATGCAACATAGAGACTTATTTCCTTATTCTTAAAATTCTGATTTTGTAATATACCAAAAATAAGTTAATTTTATATATTACACTTTCCCTTCAATCCAAACCAATTTTATATTTATTTTCGCCGGAAAAGAGGCATCAGAATTTATGTTTTTCCAGCCAAGTCGAGTAACAAGGGCACGGCCGAACCATTCTTTTCTCGAAGAATTTTGGGCCATTTTTGCTATTTGGGCTCTGAAGCTACTGGTTTGATTTTAACAGTTGTTTCACTGACGCGGGTGATATGGGTTATAAATTCGCGTGCGAAGTCGGGGGAAATCAGCAAGAGGTCTCCATTATTTGTTTCATAACTAGACAACAAATAAAGTTTCAATTGACGCAAGGCCGTAAAGGATGGTATTTGAGATGCATTCTATCTATGTTAACGAGCATTAAACAGTGCGTAATGCGTATGAGGTTTGCGGCACGTACACTGACGCAACCAATGTAACCTTTGTAATCTTAGAACATATCTCACAACGTTTTCTTTGAATACAGTTCATCGTAAGCTACATCAAATTCTGGATAGCGATAATCCTATTCCATCAATGTAGCATAACATATCGACTCGTTTTGGAGAAAATATCATCCAATTAAAACGTAATTTAAGACTTTTAAAATCAATTCTATAGGTGAAAAATAATAATCATCTTAAAGGCGGTTCATGTGTACATGAAACTTTCAATGATGTTGGGCTGTGGTTTCGTGTAAGTTGTAATTATCATTGCCGGGCGCAATGAGATAAACAGGGACTTCTTATGGCGTTAGGCCCCTCTTAAATGAGTACTTGAATTGTCATGAGTGATCTTTAAAAAATGACCACCCGATATGTCTTATTTAAAATTCTAAAGATGTTAAGCCCGCGGATCACCCGACGTCACGCTACATTACTTGGATCATTCTGATTGGCCTGGATTTGCTTCACTTCTAAATTATGGCTTCCCTACAGCTATATCGACAAGCTATATTGGTTGCGTTTTTAAATATGTACTTTTATAATCACTCACATATTTACAAATTTTCACTATAAACACAATATAAATACCAGAAAAAGTTGGATATGGTTAAATATTATTTATTTAGGTATTTTGTTGACCACCGATTTCATATCAATGATTTGGCTATTCTACTAAGTTACATACGATACAATTCCAGCTAAAATATAACTGGAATTGTATCGTATGTCACTTTGTAGAATAGGAAAACCATTAAAAACTGTAGTTTCGTGCTGTTTCGATCCGTTTTCGATTCGATTTAAACAAAAGTTATTTAGTAGAATTGGCCCCCTGGTGTCCTGTGCAAACAGGTTTTAATTACCTAAAACAGGGAACAGCGATCCACAACCAATATTAGGTTTAAGATTTATTTTATTTTATAAATTGTTAAAAGTTTGTGGAAAGAAATAAATCTTATTATTATTATTATTATATAGAAGATTGGCATGCTCACTCTCTCACTCAACTCCCATCTAAATCTTCCATATACCTAATCAAATAAATAAGTCCGTTATAGGTATATTGTGTATATATAAAAAATATACCTGTACTACTTCGAGCTGAAAGATATGTACTGTGCATACGAATCATGACATCTGAAGACCTATTCTGTTTCACCGAAAACGATATTTATGATGCAACGAAAGTAGGACCTGAAACTACCTTTGATGCACATAAACCCGTGGGTATGATTTTAATTAAAAAATATTAGAACGATTCGGAATTTTTTCAATTTTCAAAGGACAATAGGCCCTCAGATGTCATGTTAATTCTAACGTATTATATCTCTTTTAAAAATAGTGGGGAACTATATACGTAGGCGGGATGATAAATAGCTAGCCCAACCCATATTTTGTATAATAACGATATAAAATCTCCTTAGTATTTTACTCATTGGTTCATTAGCTGCCAGTGTTCCGCCGCCACTGAATTTTTAGCTCCACGCCGCCGCCGAAGATTTCGGTATCGGCGCACATGCCTACTACAGACGAGACTTGGGTTCACCACTATATACCTGAATCAAAAATTCAGTCTAAACAATGGACGGAAAAAGGATCCCTGGCTCCAAAGAAAGCAAAAGCCGTGAAATCAGCGGGGAAAGTCATGGCATCAGTATTTTGGGATTCGAAGGGTATTTTGATGATTGATTACCTTCCAAAAGGACAAAACATTAATGGCGAATATTATGCTGATCTACTGGATAAATTACAAGTGTGTAATCGTGAAAAAAGACCCGGCCTGGCTAAAAAAAAAAATTTTTCATCAGGATAATGCGCGCCTTCACACGTGCATCACTGCGATGGTGAAATTCAAAGAATTAAATCATGATTTGCTACCACACCCAGCTTATTCTCCTGATCTGGCACCATCTGACTTTCATCTATTCACTAAACTCAAAATTTTTTTAGGTGGACAAAGATTTGAAAATAATAGCGAGGTAATGTCTGCCGTGGACAGTTTTTTTCAAGGGCTTGAAGAAAACCACTTCTGGGATGGCATCAAGGCTTTAGAGCATAGATGGATGAAGCGCATAGCGTTTCAAGGAGACTATGTCTAAAAAATAAATATACTTTTAACACACTAATTCAAGTTTTTCTATGCTAGGCTAGATATTTATCATCCCGCCCTCGTATTAATAGGCTGATGATCGCAACGCTATCTCACCTATGGCGGGCGAGGAGAGGCTTCCCTTGGAACTTGTCAGATACTATAAGCACTGAGAATTTGGCGCCGCATCCGTCACTCTCATCTGTCACTTCCTGTAACAATCAAACGATCTAGATGATATTAGGTTTTGCTCCGAATGGCGACGGTTCGGTTCAAATGAAAAATCTTTCATAGACATATTTTACTGAGTTCCGATTTCGAACTTGTTTTTTTTTATGAAACGTAAATTAATTTGTTGTTTTAAGCGAATATAATGCTACAAATCTATTAAAGGTAAGTAAACAACAAAAATTGTTATTCAAATTATGCAACATTAAAAAAACTTAGATCATAACGTCACAGCTACAAATAGTAGATACAAAATGGTTTGCCGATAGTGAATCAATAATCCATTATTCAAGGTCGGCTGTGGGGGCTCAAAAGTATTACATATTTATGTTATCAGTGCAAAAAAATCAATAGTAGGGTACCGTATGACTTCGAAGAGTGACAATTGATTAAAGAAAAAAAAACTTAAAAAATAATAATAATACTTATCTCAAAAGCAACTTTTTTTAAGCTTTTTAGTGATATTGATTATAAAAAATCCATTCAGCCAAACGCGAGATAATCGCGGACAATACATACAACACGTGTAAAAGTGCGAACCTCCATTTTTAAAGTTGGTTAATATACCTAAAAAGTTCACCTAAGTCTGACAAATACTATGCTAAAAACCGCATCAAAATCGGTTCAGCTAAACGCGAGATAATCGTGCACAAACATACATACATACTGGTCAAACTGGGTTGGTTGAACTTATTTACTTCATAACAAAAATGTTAAAGTACCGGCTAAGCAAATAATGAGTTGCCCCATTTGGCAATGGTTTGATAACGTCATTTTACTATGCCAAGAAACAGGATTGTAAAACACGTACCACAGTCCATAATAAAGTTAGGGTATTAGTGGTCTTGAAATTTGACATAAAACTCAACTTTAAATGTTATTATGGTGCAATCCAGCGAATGAAATGATCCTTAAGAGTTCTAGGTCAGGCGAAAAACCGGAGAATGACCAAAGTATTATGAAATCGTTGAAAGTATACAATACGTATCGCTATCCGCACCATAATTTTACTATACGTCACAGTTTTGTAGAAAATGTGCCAAAGCGTGACGTCATTTGAAGTTTTAACTCAATGTATCGACGTAATTTAATGGTTACGAAAAAAATACGTGTTTAAAACTCTTTCATTGGAACATTCAGTAGCGTTCTATATTCATAAACGATTTATTTCATTCATAGCTACCAATTATAAACTATGTAGCAAAATTGCTTCTTCTTTCTGTAGTAAGTTTGTTTCTTTTACTAATATGAATATGTGAGAATGATGAAAATGACCTAACTATTGAGAACGACGTGAAAGATAGAGTTGAAATTATGCATAATTATAATGAGGAAGTATTTAAAAGGAAAGCACTAAAAAAGCACCTCCACTAGATGGCGACTCTAGCAAAAGTTGATTTTTGCAGGAAACGAATGGACCAAAGACAGTAATTTCCGTTATTTTTAACTAACATATTAAAAAACAGAAATTTGAAGAGTTCGAAACTTAGATATCAATACAAATACGAAAAAGTACAAACAGAATATGAGTTTTTTATAGAGTTTTGAAAATTAATTTACTTTTAAACATGAAAGAAAACTGGAAGAGTTGTCATGGAGTAATCAAGAAAGTACCGTAGCGACATCTAGTTTGATTTTGGCAACTAATGTTTTTTTAAATCATTAGGACAATTAAAGGTATGCCACGATATATTTTATTTTAAGAATTTTCTTTTCTAATGTATTCACTGGTTCTGCTGTTCAAAAGTTACTCGATTCGTAAGGTTTTAGTAAAAAATGTATCGTCCATACGTAACACGATAAAAAAATTCCAGCAGTGGCAATATTATCAGATGTACATCACTAGGTGCAACTAGTTTATAAAAACATTTTTATTAACACATGTGAGTACCTACAATTCTATATACATTGTATGTGCTGTATGAGAAAAAAACCATACTTTTTGCTGATAAACTATAAACGCGCGCAATTCTAGGTCATTCACGACACGAAATTCTGAAGCCTGTCTCAATAACACATGTGAACTTTATGTAAAAAATGTTTTTTTCGGCTGAAAATACACTCGCTTGCATGCTTTTAACAAATTTCTCACAAATTCGTCTGTCTCGTTAAGTCTTCGGTTGCTCAGTTGGACTGAAGAAGACTTCGTAAAGGATACATTATACAAAAATCAATCGATTGATAACCTATCCGGCCTTTGAAGTAGTATTATTAAATGTTTAAATATGGTATGGTAACAAAACCCTACTCGGCTCAAAAGACATAAGTTTTCCCAATCACACGATTAAATAAAAGAGGGGAAAAAATAACCGATTTTTTCCCCCAATTACCTCAAAATTAAATAATTTTTTTCCCCAAAATTTAAATTACCGGAATCGTCATTATTTTGTTAGAGAATTTGTGCGCCTCCGCTACCTGTTAAAAACATTAGAAGCGGTTTTTTACTTGTTGCGTTAAAAGGATTACCTACATGTAAATAATACAATCACGGATCAGACATGTTTTTTTTACAAATGTCATAATATAAAAATATCCGCAATAGATCTGGCGCCGGCGTCATTATATCTATAGTATTGTAAAGAAGTAAATTGCTTACTTTGTTTGTTCGTTGGGGTAATCTTCGGGTATACTTGTTAATCTTTCACTTACGGGAAGCTACATTACCATACGCGGTTACTAAAAGCTATAATTTTCGACGGCGAAGTTGGGGGGAAACCGCTAGTACAATATAAAAATATAAATGTATGTTACCAGCAATATCACTTACACCAATATGTACACCAATACAATATAAATTAAAATATAAATCTATCGAAGAGTCACGCACGCATGCGTATTCACAAATTCCAAATGCACATCAATTACAAGAGCACGCACGGTTTGCATTTAGGCAAATGATATTTTGCAATCGATAATAGAACGATTGAAACAATATTGGATTTCAAATGCGACTGTTTGAAATCAGTGTTTACATAACATTTCACTAATATTAACATATGGAGTAAAAATTTAATAAATATAAATATGTATACAAAGTCAAGACATATAACGCGACTTTGTAGATACTTAAAATCTAATCGAAGATTGAGTATTGAAAAAATATTGGCCGAGTGCGTGTCGGACTCGCGCACGAAGTGTTCCGTACCGTAAACGCGCAAAAAAAATCACATTTGTGTATGGGAACCGCCTTAAATATTACTTTATTCTAGTTTTTAATTTGCTATTTAAGCGGCAACAAAAATACATCATGAGTGAAAATTTCAACTGTCTAAGACAACGAAGTCTTAGTGATAGCGTTCCCGTTTTACCCTTACGGTACAGAACTCTAAAAAGGAACCGATTTTAAAACGTAAATTGCTCACAAAAAAGTTCTATATCTCTAAAACCTTTATTTCCTTTGTATAACACGACTCCTACTTTGACTTGTAATATTTACTTGTAATAGCTCATGCTTGTTCTCCCATTCCCCCATCTCATTTAGAAGCTTCTTGTAGCATTTTTTTTTAACTTCATTCATTCGCAGCCAAATGGGGAACAGCCATTCAGCGGTTAAATATTGAAATGCATAATTTTCTAGTTTAAATACTTTTTATTCAACTTATTGGTTCCTTAGCGACTAATTCTATTTTTAATCAAATATTCATTTGAATTCTAACCAAGTTCCTTTAGAAGTAAAAAAAATTAAATTGAGAAAAATTGGAAATCACTTCTTTTAACATCTCCATACAGATGAAGTTCGCCAGGTCAAATACTCCGAAATAATTTCAGCCTATAAATAATATTAATATAGTCTTTACAAATGTGGACGAATCCACCATAATTTAAGAACTCTTTTGTAATATTTCTTTTTCTTTTGATATTCTATTAACTGTCTAAAATGTCTTTTTCATATTCACATGTTTTGTTTTTGTTTGATCTTGTCATCTATATTTTGTTTGTACATACTAAAATTATCATATATAAAATAAAACTAATTCATAATAACTGGACCTTTTAATTATATAAGTTTAGGTCCGTTATTTATAACATAAATAAATAATGAAATATTAGACAACATCACATACATTGCTCAGATTACAATTAAATAGCTAAATTACTTGTATTATGTTAATTTAAACAATGAAGGTACCAACAATTGAGACAATATAAAAAAGTTCATTGTACTCATTGACCTAATCGTTAATCGAACCAAGGAAATCGTAGATGGTAATCCACACGGTGGGCCACTCGGCCACGGAGGTCGTCTTCTTATCACTTTTTTTCTTATTTTCATATTTCTCACGACTTATTCCACTAGTATATGTAATCTCATGTGCAGTAAAGCAATATTCAAATAACTAGGTCAAATCCGTTCGTTCGAGGAAGACCCGTAATAAAATAACATTAAGAGTGCGCATATCGATATATTGAAATCGAGACGAACGTTTCTGATCAGCGTTTAAGATAGATAAGGACAGGCGACGATACAATAGGCAAATTAAAGCCTAGAAAACAATAATTATTTAATTATTATTGTATAATTTCTCAATAGCAAACCTCTGGTACATATATTTCACTGCAAAAAAAGTAATACCAAAAGAAAAAAGCAAATTTAGCTAACGGAGTTGAATTTAAGAGGTAATATCTTAAGGTTTTTTAATAAGATTTAAACCTATAGACGTATGATGTATGTAGTTGTGTCATTATTTTTAAACAAAGAAGAATATATTTGGGTGTAGAAAAAACGTTACCGAGTTTGTCATGCTACGCATATAGACCAGATGCCCTGCGCACTAAATCATAAATAAAATAAACATTAGACAAAATCAAATACATTGTTCAGATTCCTAGACAAGCTAAAGCTCCGTATTATGGAGTATTTTACACAACGAAGGTATCATAACACCCAGACCCAAGATAATGTAGTAAAGTCTACATTGACCCGACCGGAAATCCAACCCGGGACCTCAGAGATAGTGACACCTTGAAACCTTCATTATTCATC